AAACGTCGGGCAACAACAAAGTTAACTTTCTTTGAGACTATCCAGCTTATGGACTGAAACTTAATAAAACATGCCACCAAATTATCAACAGTTTATGTTATCTGTGCTTTTGAATAATTGATTCAAAAATTGTCCTGACTGCACTTGGGACATTCCCACACCTGCTCAGTCTCAATCCTCAGTAGCCAATAAAGAGTCGGCATGCTAATAGTAATAGTTACGAGAACTGATTAAAAGTCCGCCTGTGTTTTACCCTCAGTGTTAAATTTATTCTGCGTTCTTTTAAAAGTCAAGAAAGTTCTTCCTCGCCAGTGTGTCACCAGGGCCCTAACAAGAAGCAAATATCAATGACACTGCACCCTACCAGGCATGTCGTAAGAGGCTACTAAGGAAAGGGTTGGCTTCTTCATCCTAAAAAAAAACTATAGGCGCAAAATCTATCCGGCCATGGATAAGTCAAAAAGAGAAGCAAGAAAAACTCAGCCACCCTAGATGAGGGGAGGCTCTTCAATTGTGTGACACGGTTTGGAAAAAGCCGAAAGGAGTCCAGACCATCGACATACCTCCTCACACCTAGGAAAACCTTCAGAATTGGAACCTGAATGTTTGATGTTAAAGGGGAAGCCAGAAACACAACCCACATTTCCTTCAGAACTGGTACAGGACATTTCTAGCTGCTGCCCGGGGAGGAAGGTAATCCACAGACGCCTCAGCATCACAATGCTATGAATATGACAACAATTTGAACCCAAGATCTTAAGCAGAATGAACCCAAGCACCTAACAGGCGGAGCATCTACCTGTGAGCAACCGAGACTTCCGCTGCAGGCTGTCTTATTTTGGAAACTCTGTCATTGACCCATTCTCTTGGTTACACTGAAGAATTTACTATAATTTATAAATATTAGAATCACTATTTAAAAAAAAAAAACAACTATAAAATTATAGGTCATTAAAAACATTTTTTTTTGGTTTCTGTTTCTTCTCCTTTTATCGTGCTTCTTAAGCCATAAAGGGGTCCATTGTGGTGTAGAGGCTAGACGCTCGCCTTCGGATCGGAAGGTAGAAGGTTCTGGTCCTGACAGAGGCGAATGTTTTTTTTTTTTTTTTTAAATGGCTCTTAGACCAACCCAGTTTTGAGTGGGTCCAGGTTGAACAGTGGAATGTGATAATGGTCAACATGACCTGTCTTAGTATCATTTCTAAAAATATAATGTTTGGAACAGTAACATAAAATAAAACACGTAGAATTGTGACAACGGGGATGAAATGCCCTAGAAGAGCTGCAGGAGTTTCAAGAAAAGACAGAATACGAAATCACGAAATCAGACGAATACTAGGAAAAAAGCCAGTGTTACGTGTCATCAAAGAACAACAAATGAAGTGTTTTGGACACCTAACAAGAATGCACTGGTACTATCTGCCACAGCGAGCCACACTAAAACGTTACAACAGGTATACAGTGACAGACCTCGGGAAAAAAATGAAGTGAAGGCGTTAAAAACAACTGTACAGAAATAAATCCTAAAAGTGCTTTTGACAGAGCTCATCAACAAACGTTACATATCCCCCAGACACTTCGCTGAGGTACAAGGTGGAAGAGAAGAAAAAGAAGAAGGAGGATGAGGAACAGTAACATTTTGACTCCATTTTGAGAACATAAACGAAAAATACTTAAACTATATCACTAACGCCCTGAATGATGTCCTGTGGACCAGCTAATGGAAAAGGTTGTAAATTAACATGATGTTAATGGTCATGAATTTTCTCTTCTTCTTCTTCTTCTTCTTCTTCTCCTTCTTCTTCTTCTTCTTCTTCTTCTTCTTCTTCTTCTTCTTCTTCTTCTTCTTCTTCTTCTTCTTCTTCTTCTTCTTCTTCTTCTTCTTCTTCTTCTTCTCTTTCTTCTTCTTCTTCTTCTTCTTCTTCTTCTTCTTCTTCTTCTTCTTCTTCTTTTCTTCTTCTTCTTCTTCTTCTTCTTCTTCTTCTTCTTCTTCTTCTTCTTCTTCTTCTTCTTCTTCTTCTTCTTCTTCTTCTTCTTCTTCTTCTTCTTCTTCTTCTTCTTCTTCTTCTTCTTCTTCTTCTTCTTCTTCTTCTTCTTCTTCTTCTTCTTCTTCTTCTTCTTCTTCTTCTTCTTCTTCTTCTTCTTCTCTTCTTCTTTTCTTCTTCTTCTTCTTCTTCTTCTTCTTCTTCTTCTTCTTCTTCTTCTCTTTCTTCTTCTTCTTCTTCTGATTCTTCTTCTTCTTCTTCTTCTTCTTCTTCTTCTTCTTCTTCTTCTTCTTCTTCTTCTTCTTCTTCTTCTTCTTCTTCTTCTTCTTCTTCTTCTTCTTCTTCTTCTCTTTCTTCTTATTCTTCTTCTTCTTCTTCTTCTTCTTCTTCTTCTTCAGCTTCTTCTTTTACTTCTTCTTCAGCATTCCGGACCCTCGAAGTTTACTGCTGCAGATATCACCTGCCTCCATTTATCTCTCTGGTTGGCTTTCTCTTTTCAGTTGGTATCACCAAATTTTTGTAGGTCTGTCTAGATATTATTTCCTTATCGTCCTCTTTGTCTCTCTCGTGGTATACGACCATTCAACTCACTTGCGAACAGTTTCAATTCTAGGACACCTGACATTATCTCAATATACGCAGCCATTTCGGTCTGTTAGCACTCATGATGCCAGTCATCGGTGGTGATTTAAACAGATAATGAATATCGTTATTGCTTCCCACTCTCTATTCACCTCAGGATGATGATGATGACGGTGGTGATGATGATGATGATAATGATGACAATAAAAAAAGTGCAATAAAATAAAAGAGATGTTTCATTTATATTTTATTTATGTTTTCGTCGTCGGTAATTTGAAGTCAGCCGTGGCACGTTCAGTCGGCCTCTATGGGGGCTGTCTCAGGACTGATGATAAAGTAAAGATTGTAATACAGTAAATATTTACGATAAAGCAATTATGATATTTACAACAAGCCAACAATGTCGCATACCAGCTTGCCCCAATTTTAAAACACCCTGCTGTCCCAGCTGAGATAAAAAGACAAATTATATATTACAATCTTTATACCGACATTAGGTTATGAATGTCAGACTTGGACATTAACAAAAGAACACGAGAGAAGACTAACCACCTGTGAAATGAGATGTTTGAGAATGGCTGCGAATAAAACCAGAAGAGATCGAGTGAGAAACGATGTGATTACAAGAACTATTTGAACCATACCCATCGTTAAATTTATTGAGAAGCAAAGAATGAAATGGTTTGGTCACGTAATGAGAATGGAACCAACGATGCCAGCATCAAGAGCATACAACATGAAAATCGAAACACCAAGAGGCAGGGGAAGACCAAGAAGAAGATGGATTGAAGGAGTCACGGACAACTTGAGACTTCATAACATCACGGCATATGAAGCGACTGAGCGCGCCCTGGCTCGGTTGCCGATCATTTGATAGACTGCGACGCCTAGCGGCACAAGCAGATTTTGACAAAAGAAGAAAGAAAGAAATATTTACGATAGTTTGTGTTTCTTCTCTTTTTAGGCAAGTGATCACGATAGTCTTGTTCAGTTAACTCATTTCATTTTTATCTTCTTCTTTTCTTCTTCTTCATCTTTTTCTTTTTCTTTTTCTTCTTCTTTCTTTTCTTTTTCTTTTTCTTTTTTCCCTCCTCCTCCTCCTTCTTCTTCTTCTTCTTCTTCTTCTTCTTCTTCTTCTTCTTCTTCTTCTTCTTCTTCTTCTTCTTCTTCTTCTTCTTCTTCTTCTTCTTCTTCTTCTTCTTCTTCTTCTTCTTCTTCTTCTTCTTCTTCTTTTCTTCTTCTTCTTTCTTCTTCTTCTTCTTCTTCTTCTTCTTCTTCTTCTTCTTCTTCTTCTTCTTCTTCTTCTTCTTCTTCTTCTTCTTCTTCTTCTTCTTCTTTCTTCTTTCTTCTTCTTCTTCTTTTCTTCTTCTTCTTCTTCTTCTTCTTCTTTTTTCTTCTTTTCTTCTTCTTCTCTTTCCTTTTCTTCTTCTTCTTCTTCTTCTTCTTCTTCTTCTTCTTCTTCTTCTTCTTCTTCTTCTTCTTCTTCTTCTTCTTCTTCTTCTTCTTCTTCTTCTTCTTCTTCTTCTTCTTCTTCTTCTTCTTCTTCTTTTTTTCTTCTTTTTCTTCTTTTTTTTCTTCTTCTTTTTCTTCTTCTTCTTCTTCTTCTTCTTCTTCTTCTTCTTCTTTTGTCTTCTTCTTTTTCTTTTTATTCTTCTTTTTCTTTATCTTCTTCTGCTTCTTCTTCTTTTCCGTCTTCTTCTTCTTCTTCTTCTTCTTCTTCTTCTTCTTCTTCTTCTTCTTCTTCTTCTTCTTCTTCTTCTTCTTCTTCTTCTTCTTCCTAGTCTTCTTCTTCTCTTTCTTCTTCTTCTACTTCCTCTTCTTCTTCTTCTTCTTCTTTTTCTTCTTCTTCTTCTTCTTCTTCTTCTTCTTCTTCTTCGTCGTCGTCGTCGTCTTTTGCTGCTGTTGCGTCCTGGGGAAGTAAACACGCCTGGCGTAATGCTGGCCACATTACCCACCTAGTGCGATTGGTCTGTAAAATTATGAATGCTTTTCTCATACGCCTGATGCGCCTCATAGGCGTGAAAAGGGATCTTACCTTTTTTTTTTTTTAAATATGTAAACTCTTTAATATAGAAGGAGTTAAAAAAACGACCTCTTGGGGATTGAAAGAGTTGATAAGTTGCTTGTTACAAATCAGTTGGTCTACCGCCTCCACCCCCCCCCCCCCCCCACTTCCCTCCCCAGCTTTTTTCAGTTTCCCTTTATTGGGTACTGTGACGCAGATGGATACTATTTAATTTGTTCTACATTTTAACACAATTACGACATGTGTATGCATCTTGTTCTCTAGCAGTAAAAACAAGACTAAGAGTGACAATGGGTAAGTCATCGGAAAACTACAGATAAATGTGAAGAAAATTTTTTTTAAAGGGCTCCAAGAAATACCAAGCTAGATTTGAAAATGCTTGGATCAGATCTATAAACGAGTAGGAG